ACGTTAGACTGTAAAAGCAGGATACATTATGTGATTCAAGTGCACAACTGGTAATGTATGATAATACTTTGAAAGCAATTTTTAGTAGTATTCTTGAAAATGTTATGAAGTAACAATGCATGTTGTCTAACAGTCAATGAAAAAATTTAGGTGACTGCCCTGCTAGTAGGGCAAAGGAGCTGAGTACACATGCCCATTGTTTACACTAATCTCATGACTGCCAAAGAGCAAAAGCTTTTGAATGATGTAACATCAGCTTTAAAATCACTCAAGTCCATTTCAGGACTCTAAAGCCAGCTTATTAAAAAAAAAAAAAAAAAAAAAGGCTGTAGCCAAGGCTAGTTCAGGTCAGGTAGAATACACTAATCTTGGTCAGCAGCTATAGCAATTCAGCTTCTACACAGGTGAAAACTCATGCCTCCTATTGCCCAAATCTATAGTACATTTGTGTAGAAGAGGGGCAGAAAGACCTAGAGCATGAAGCTCTTTCAGGGCCAGCTGGCTTGAATCAAAATAAATCTTCATAGTCTGAAGAACAGTCAGGCTGCGATAAGCAGATCTTGGAAGAGAAGCTTTAACAGGAAGCTTAAGCTGTCTCACAGTTGTACATCTGCACAAAGATGATACAGAAATTTGCATCACCCTCCCGTTGTCTGCTTGTAACTGCCCTCTCCATGTCAGCTTCCACACAAGTCCGCTCTTCAGCTATTCCCAACAGTTGCCTCATCTCCTAGTACCAGTGACTGCCTGCTGCCAAGTCTTTGCTTCCTTTATGTCCCAAGTCCTCCTCCCAGAAAAACATAGGGTAAAACTAACTCCACCTCTATGGCTCAGGTGGGAACTGCTCCACATGCTCTACAAGGAGGTTCATGTGCCATCTAGTCTTGCAGGGAGTCTTGTGCAAGGCTGAGAGTACGGCACATGTTGTTTGGTCCATAACAAAAGATCCAAGAGGCTCAGGGATACACAGGGTGGATAGGATCTGCAGACATTCTGGCTGTTAAGCTCTATGAAGCCCTCATGAGGCATACAGAAAATTTGTTTTTAGAAGTTTTATAATCCAGACAAATTTGGATGGATTTTAACAGTAATGGGGAAAAACAAATAATTGAAAAATCTCTCTGCTAAAAGAGCTACCCTGCCAGGACAGTCAGATGACAAAGCTTTACTGTATACCACTTGAATTCTTTAATGCTTTGGGGGGGATAAAAAAAAATTCTCTGCCACCTGGCTGTATTCTTAGAAATTACTTAAAGGTCTGGACTGAAATTCAGAACAAATTTGGCCTGAAACAGACACTTATGTGAAAGGCCTCAGAAAAGTTATGCATCCCAAAGAGCAGTCCTTTGAGTGAGACAGGGTTTTAAATAAGCTTAATTTTAGATGTTTCAGTGAAGTGCTGAGCTTGGAGTTTAGCAAGTAAGGTAATGAAATTCAATTCTAACTGCATCTAGCTGAAACAGACTGGAGAACAACATAAACAAGGGACATCTTCAGAACAAAACAGATAACACAGTGATTTGATAAAAGTACAACACAAATTTAAATAGGAATAATTAAAAAAAAGAAATGCAGAAGCCTGAATGATGGAATAACCAGCGTATGAGAAAAATTATGAACACCTGAGACAAGACTTTTCCTCAGCAGACAGAAGAGCCAGTAAAATAGTGTTCGGGATAGAAAGAGAGGAGCGAGCTGGAAACAGAAATAGAGATTTTTGGTTTAAAAAGAGGTAAAGATGGCAGCTCACAACCAACCCTGAAAGTGCAGAGAGATTTATAGGCCACTATAAATCTTAACATAAATGGTAAGGATCTAATTTTCTTTGGTGCAGGTATGCTTTACATGTATAGAAATTATATTTTTAATACTAAAAATCTGAAATCAGTTTTTAAGAGTAACAGTGAAAGTATATTCTAATATTATATTATTCTATGTGAAATAAATCTAGTTAAAATATGGAAACTACTAAAAATGACATCTGACTGAAGTTCTATGATCTATGGTGGGAGAAATGCTTCTGTATAAAACGCTCCTAAAATGTTCAGTACTTACTGTAAAAAGACATCACACAAACTAAGAGTTCAACTACATACTCTTAACTCAGAAAACATTTCAAACAAGGGGCTAAAGTTCTTTGAATTAGGTCAACTGCCCTCACATCTGTGTTAATGGGAATTTCACATCTACTTCCTTCAAGAACACAGAGCTAATGAATACATTGATGAATGTTGTTTGAGTTAGAATGGTGAACACAGGCTGCTGTAAATACTGAAATGGAAAACTGTATTTGTTTTCTCAAAATGAAATTGAGAAATACAACCCAGGTCTTCCCATCTGTGCAGCCCCAGGCTGGGGTGGTCAGTTGTCACAAACATCCCCAGGCTGGGGTTGGCAGTTGTCATAAACATCTTTCTTGAGAAATTAATAAAGATGTGCGAATTAAGCAAACTCCTCAATCAGGCATCGTGCTTTGGGAACTTCCTCATCTCGGTAAGGGAGTGTGGAAGATGACCAAAATGCTGCAGAGGAAGGGTGTTGGCTTGCGAACCCCACCTATGTCACACAGGCAAGGAAGTCAAGCACTTGCCTTGGACACACACACACACACACAACTGTGAGACCACCACAACCTGCCCCCCATGCCCACTGACTCATTCTCAAGAACTTTCGGGAAGCTATGAGACAGGTACCCAAAGGGTATAAAAGGCGAGGGGGCCAGCCCCTTGCTGTGTGCACCCAGCACCAGAGGACCCTGACCACCAGGTGCGCACCCACCACCGGAGGACCCCACCCACCAGCTCAGAGACTGCTGCTGAGTCCAAGGGTGGTGATATCTTATCTCTTATTTCTTCTCTTATCTCTCCTTTTGTTTTCCTCTCTCTCTCTGACTTTTTTGGCACATAAGGGTAAATGTTGCGAGTTTGTTAACCTGCTATATTCTGTGGTTTTGTGATATCAGACTTTGTGTTGTTGAAACCTTTGCCAAGTCAATATCCATTTCCAACCCCACTGTGCTAAAAGTAACGTTATGAAGTTGCAAAGTTATCACCTTTTGTAATACAACTGCCTTGCAAGTAAAGCTTTGTTTTTAGTCAAGCCTCTTGGTCATTGTTATGACTCTTCAGTACCACACAGTGAATTAAAAAGCTCACCTTCCACTTTGCCCGCTGAGCGGGATGGGACAACATCACATAAAAGACACTTGAAGCAAGCAAGAAACTACATGTGATGTAACGTTCATTTTCTTTTTCTCAGAACTGTCTTGTGAATTTGTGTGCATTTGTGCATGCAGGAAGAAGGTGGGAAGCATCTCCTGAAAAATTGTTAGACACTAGACAGTCCTTTAGAAAAGATGAGATTCCAGACTTGGAACGTTTTGTTCAATGGCAGAAAACAAGTCCACCAGTTGTTAGTTCCTTCTGATGCCCTCTCCTTGCTTGCAAGTCCTTATGCCACAGTGATATGTTATTTTACTTATTACATAGTCATAGCGTAGAACTCGGACTGCAGCAAGACCCAAGAGTGATTAACAGGTATGACAAGATAAAATTCTCATAACATTGGCTAGTTGCAATCCTTAACTTAAGTAGGCTCATGAGTAGTGTGTTGGTTAAAATCCTTCCACTGTTACTTTGTGTCTAAAAATAACAACTTATCTAAACCGAAGGGTTTTGCACAGTTAACTGATGCATGAACTATCACATTATCATAGTTCATTTAAGACCTATCTCTAAAAGGCCTGTATAATGTGTTGTTTTTTTTTGATCAAGTGGTTAGAATTCTTTATTTCTCCCATTTGACAAGCATGCTCAGGATTAGATTACTTGATGTCTGCTAGTTTTTCATATTTTCTTCTCTTTGGGTATGTTTTACCCAGCAAGCCTTTTGTACTAAAATACTCTTCACATGGGTGAGTTAAAAAAATAAAACAAAACAAACCGCTTCTTGACTCAATACATGTTCTCAGCTAATAGTCTGATGAACTTACATCCATCTGGGGTGTTTATCTTAAGCCAGGAAAATAACACTCAGCACAATGTGCAATTTATATGGAATGCATGACAAATCAGTGTAGGGCTCGGTGCTGACAACATTTTCCAACAGCGTTAAAGTAGCGGATGTTTTCACCTAAAGTGTAGAATACAGTGTCCTCAAATCCAGTGACAGTGACACATTTTTAACTGAGGTTGTGACAGATAATAAATCCTCTATTTCTTACCAGTTTGCATAAAACAGGATAATCTGGATAACCTGTGATTTTGTAATCACAGTAAGGTTCTTTACTTCAGCTAAGCTAGCAATTCAAAAAAACCCTCACTTTATTAGAACATAAAATTACTTTTTATTACTGGTATAAATTATTTAAAAGGGAGAAGTATAATCTCCTACTGATTTTAAAAAAATTATCTGCAAATAAAATCATGTAAAAACATGCAGATGCCACAAATTTGAGTAGAAAAATTATTAGTATGTCTGAGGAGCACCGACCAGCTCTCTGTATAGTTCCAGTATATGTTCTGCTATTGCTGTGGCAGAAAAACCACTGAGAAATACTACAAACCAAAAAGCAGATTTCTATCTTTCACACACAGGAACTGCATAGCATCTTCTACATCTGTAAAGGCGACACTAGATGTTCCAAGATTACTGTTAAGTACAACCCTAAGTTCTTTTCTCAAAGGTTAAAGTTTTCTCTAAATAACATCACAAAGGACATTTTTTGACAACTTTGATATAAATGGTTCAGAACAGGCAGACATATAAACCTCCAGATCCAATGGATAAACAAGTGCTTGAGCAACTTCAGTTCCCATTCCTTAGTCTATAAAATATTTGAAGAATTCTAAGAATATCAACTAAAAGATCATTCATAGCTGCATCAATTAATCAAAACACATCAAGACACAGCAATAACTCCTAAATATACACAAACAGGTTTCAGCCTGCACAACAGGTTTCCAACAAGTGTCAGAAAACACCTTTGAAAGAGTGCTTACTTTGGCTGGAGGAGAACTGTTGTGTTGTGCCTCTCTTGATTGTCCCTTGTTTTCAGGTAAGGTTGGCATGGTGGACAGCGTGAAGCTCGTGGAACTGCAACGTGCACTAACAGGACCATGCACTGCTGAGAATATCTGTTTCAAATTAACCTGAAGGCATAAGCACTGAGAGGCCTTGTGATCCACAGGCTGTGTTAGATGCCAAAAATACAAATCAATTTAATTTAAAACACTATGCTCTAACACTGAGTTTACTTTATAATAACAAACAGTATTAAAATTTAAAATTAAAAATGCTATCTTGTGTTTTATTAACTAAAGCTTTCAAGGTCAAGTATAACTTAGTAAATGCATTCAAAACAGAAAACCTTCCATTCTTGTTGTTATTTCCATCTCTTCCTTCCATTTTACATAATTATTTTTTCATGACTATGACTGGTTTGGCTGTGACAAAACTACCTTCTCTAAAAATCCTCTGAGAAGAAAACAGCATCCTGGATATCTGTAATATGCCTTTTAGTAACTAATAAAGTCCTAATGCTACAGAGCATGATCTCAGATCTCAAAGAAAGGAGTAAAGCTGGAAACCCAGATGGTGGCACTCTTCCTTTGAGCAAGAGCAAGGCCTAGGTGCATTTTGCAAAGACTTGGTGTACATCTGCACAGGACAACACTGTATGAGACACTTCCAAAGCAAAATAGCAGTAATGCTCAAATGGGGGGGCGGGGGAGCGGAAATCACTGTCTATTAGCCATGAAAATTCTTGTTACCAGCATCAATGGGAGCTACTGCCTTCACAAGGATATTATTAGCATTAAAGCCTGTACAGTAGTCTGAAGATGAGAAATGTTAAGTACTAATCCTTACAGCCACAGTGTATGTATTACAGGACTTACTATGACACCTACCGGACAGTTAAGGAACAGTCCTCATAAATAAATCATTCGACTCCTCGGTGGTGCCTACAGATGACAGACAATGCAGTTATCGGAGACAATCTGGTACATAGTTTCTGTCTGGACTAGTAACAGCTAACTATATTCCTTTACAGTTAATTCACAGCTGTGTATAGAATGGAGTTATACACTCAAACAGTAACATAACAACTTCAATAGTGTGCCAAGGAGATAAATATACCCAACAAGCATAGGTTCAATCTCCAACACGTTATCTTCTCCCAGCCCAGAATTAGTAATCTCATCTGAATTCTATTACTCTTCTGGATATCAAGAGAGACGGAACAAAAAGGTTGAGATGGGGAGATGATTTGAAGTTCAAGGCACTTAACATCATTGTAAGATTAACTTTGTACAGTTTTCCCTTCCATTTCAGGGAAGGTCAAACAAATGTGTTCAGGAACATGTTGGTTTATTGAGGCTGACAATTAAAGTTGTCAAAACACCTCTATTGATTTAAAAAGAAAAAAAAAGAAAAAAGAGACAAAACCATTTGCAGGAAATACTGAAGCAGTCTCAGTAGTGACAAGTTTCTCACCTCAGCTTTCACAGAAAAAAATCTGCATTGTAAAACTTACAGAATGTGTGAAAACTCTCGACTACAGAAGCAGCTAAGATCCAAGATTTTACTAGATTTATTTCATGTTATACTGGAAACTTAATTTTCTTTTTTACTAGAGGAGGAATACAATACACCTCACATGAAATTAAAGGCAGAACTAATAGACTGTAAAAATGATCTCTACACAACTATTAGTGTGTTCAGAAAAAAAAATTATTTCACTGAAGTGCTTTGATAAAGACTGTGGAAAAGATATATCATATATGACATCATTATGAAGACGAAGACAAAGACGTTTTTGAACAGTGACCATGATATTTTTCAGAGCAGTATATGCTGTAGGAACCGCATGTTTTAAGCTTTTGTAGACATTTTGAACCTGATATGGGTGAATCTCTAGCTCAACCATAATAAGTGGAAGCTTATGTTTGTATCATTATTTTACCCACCTCTGCCTTCAAATGAGAGTAGCAGAAGCTTTCTATGAATATAGAGAAGATTTAAATATGTTTATTAAGGCAAAATAGCTTAAAGTCCCTAATATGATGGAAAACAGACATTTACAATTACATATATTTTAATAAACCCACATAGTTTAGGCAGATAGGAGTATCATTAAACATCTGTGTGTTTCAACAGTTCAGTATTTTTGTATCAAACAGTCACCAACTATTAACAACACAAGAAGACGAGACAGAAGTGAGGTAACTAAAAAAAGTATATGGACTTCCTTTTAATCTCTGTAACAAAATCCTGGCATCCTATGCAATTTCTGAGTTTGCAAGAACTCAAACAAAAAAGAGAATATATAAATTTGGCTGTTTATCTAATCCGTCTTGGCGTTTGCCTTATAAACTTATATTGGTTCTGATAGGCTTAACTGAACAGAACGCTGGGCCTGAAAAATCAGGAAACTTTCAAGTCATGGCCAAAGTGTGTTTGCAGTCCTATGTGCAGCTGTATAAGCTATTGCATCAAAGTGGTTTATTCCCAGTCTTAGCTAAGTTCCTAGTGCATTCTAAACTTAATAAAGTAATGCAAGTCATATTGAAATAAGAAACAGCTATTAAGCACATCAAGTTTCAGTTCATTTTTCAGATTTAAAAAGTAAAAAAACTTTAGAAGAAAAAAAAATCAGCTGGCTTGTCTAAGAATAGAAAGGGACAAACCCCGAGCTGTGTTGTCTTAGAGATGCAGCACAGAAAGTACAGACAAGGGAGAATGGAGGGTAGAAAGATGAATTTACGCCACCTTAACAACCCCCAGATTTGGAGTGGACTGAGTTCAGTCCATCTCTGACACAATTAGAGCCTTACTCTGACTTCCTTACAGAGCTATCTTGCAAATCGGAAAAAGCTCAAATCTTTGTGGTGCTGATCAGTAGGAAAATTTCTTCTTCCGACTTTCCATTTTTTCCTAATATCTCTCCAGAAAACCCCAGTGCTGAGGACTGTATTGGAGTAGCAAAAGCTTACATATAATTATTCATATTCTGAGGCTTCTTAAAACTAATGCAGTCTCTGCATACCTTGACTGTACTGCTGCAGTCCTCTAAGGTGCCAAAATAAGCCCTACTACTTACTGGTATTTCAACAAAATATATAAGGACATAGTTCAGTTCATAAGCTATATAATTTAGAACTCCTGAATGGTTATTTTTTCAGTCTAAAAGCTTATTTTTAACATTTGCAGTGTGCTTAAAATCAGTAGTCCAGATCCTTTAAAGACTTTATGATGCTTAACCAGCACAAACATCACATCCTGTAAATACAAATGTATATAACGAATGGAGCCACCTTCTTGTTCCATGCTGTGCAAGTTCTGCCATTTTCTGTATCAGTTACTGCCTTCTGATACTAGTATGAAAGGTAAAGCTTTAGAAATGATGGAACCTTAAGATACTAGTGAATAAATGTTGTTCTTCCATCACTGCTGAAGTGATCTTCTGCAATGAAAATAGCCCAAGTAAATGTCAGTGAGAGTCAAAACATATAGAAAAAGGGGGCTTCACAAGAACACTCTAACAAGACATAGAGGGGCTTATCTGCATCTCACAAATTTAGGAAGACAAGAAAGAAATGTCCTTGGAAAATTTATTTCCCTGGAAGGTACGTTTCTTCTTCTTCAGTAGAGCACTAGGGAGGAGTCCAGCCTTGGAACCTATAGAAATTCGCACCTCTATCTACAAATACAGCTTACAGCCTTAATGAACCTTGAGCCAAAGTGCAGAGAGCACAACCATCCTGGTTCTAAGCCTGGCTCATCTTCCAGCTGAACAGCCTTTGGAATCATGCTGCCACTAGCTTTGCCAGCTTTATCTCCTTTCCACAAGCACAAACATGTTTCTCTCAAAGGAGGAAATGATACGTTAACAATACATACAGCACAGCAAGCTACCAACTGAAACAACTGTAATTATTGTCCCTGAAGATACTGAAAGGATAGATAAAAAAAATACATCTGCACTTTAAAAACAGTCAAGGTGCATAAGCACATGTCAGCATTCTAGTCACTAAGACAATTTCAAGATTCTGTTATTTCTTTTTTTAGGCATTGCTGAAACTCTGTCTGGCCTACCTCTATCCTATCAAAGGGTGTCATGAGATGACTGTAGTGCTTTATCAGAGTAAACAATCCCCACCAAAGTTCCACTCTTTTGGAAACTGCAAGAGCTTCAAAATTACCTTTTAAAATTAAATACTTGTAGAGATTAACTCACATGTCACAAGAAGAGTGGATGTGGGATGGAGTGCTTTTTAACGTTTTGGTCTGTTGTTGTAAACTTACTGCTTAAAATAGTTAGGGAAAAAGAATGATCCCCTGAGCTCAAAATTGTAGCCAGATATAGATCAGTGAATGCAGAGAACTTTCTTGCACCACTGTGTAGGCTTAGAGTACAATCTCCAGGAAATGGTGGTCTGGGAGTTCTATTCCATAAAAGGGAAAAGTATTTAGAGGCCCTTGGCTTTCAGTGTGTTCTCTCCACAACTCATTTTACCATAGCAGAGAAAGCTCAGTATACCCAGTTAACTTACCCTCTCTGAGTCACAGCTGAGTACCGTGTTAGCAAAGGTTTAGATTAAAGGTGCTTTACTCCATCTCCACTGATAGCTTGGCAGTTGACCTCAAATGCTCTGTCACATCACAACAAGGATATATATAAAAAGAAGCAGAAACAAACAGTTAAGAAAGCATTTTATTATTATTTCTTGGCCTCATACTGTCTGCGGTCAAGTCAAGCAACTCTCATTTGTCAACAGAGTTGTGTACTTATGAACACAGCTGAACTGCACAATTCAGTGCTGCTTTTTGTAATGTTTTTCCTCATTGCCCTTCAAAGTGAATGTAAAACATTACCATATTAGAAAGATATCTTTTTGCACTCCTTTTGTATAGCTGTAAAAGCATAAGGAATTCATGTAGCATTTTGAATTGTTTTGCAGCTTTGAAGTACTTAAAACACTAAACTTACTTCATTCAAACCAAGCATGAGCAAATCAGGTGTTTTTCTTATGTTTGTGCCACAGAATAAATTTTCAAACACAAACCA